ATGATTATGTGCCTTAAGGTTGCTCTTCTTGAGGAATATCTTTGTGGTGTTCTCTGTATTTCCTGGACTTGGATGTTGGCCAGCCTTGCTAGGTTGGGGAAGTTCTCCTGGATAATATCCTGAAGAGTGTTTTCCAGCTTGGATTCATTCTCTCCATCACATTCAGGTACACCTATCAAACATAGATTAGGTCTTTTCACATAATCCCATATTTCTTAGAGGCTTTGTTCATTTCTTTTTACTCTTTTTTTCTCTAATCTTGCCTTCTCATTTTATTTCATTGAGTTGATCTTCAATCTCTGGTATCCTTTCTTCTGCTTGGTCAATTCAGCTATTGAAACTTTTATATTATACCCAAAGTTCTCGTGTTGTGTTTTTCTGCTCCATCAAGTCATTTATATTCTTTTCTAAGCTGTTTATTCTAGTTAGCATTTCATCTAACCTCTTTTCGAGGTTGTTAATTTCTTTGCATTGGGTTAGAACATGTTCTTTTAGGTCAGAGAAGTTTGTTATTGCCCAGCTTCTGAAGCCTGTTTCTTTCAATTCATCAGACTCATTCTCCATCCAGCCTTGTTCCATTGCTGGTGAAGAGTTGTAATCCCTTGGAGGAGGAGAGGTGTTCTGGTTTTCGGTGTTTTCATCCTTTTTGCACTGGTTTCTTCCCATCTTCGTGGATTTATCTACCTATGGTCTTTGTAGTTGGTGACTTTCAGATGGGGTCTCTGAGTGAATGTCCTTTTTATTGATGTTGAAGCCATTTTTTTCTGTTTCTTTAGTTTTCCTTTTAACAGTCAGGTCCCTCTGCTGCAGGACTGCTGTAGGTCTGCTCCAGAACCTGCTTGCCTGGGGATCACGTGCGGGGGCTGCCGAACAGTAAAGGTTACTGCCGGTTTCTTCTTCTGTTATCTTTGTCCCAGAAGGATACCCGCCAGCTGTCAGCCTGAGCTCTCCTTTATGAGGTGTCTCTGGATATACGGGGGTCAGGGAGCTGCTTGAGGAGACAGTCTGTCCCTTATAGGAGCTCAAGTGCTGTGCTGGGAGCTCCGTTGTTCCATTCAGAGCTGCTGGGCGGGTATGTTTAAGTCTGCTGCAGCAGAGCTCACAACCACCTCTTTTTCCAGGTGCTCTGTCCTGGGAAGGTGGGGCTTTATTTATAAGCTCCCGATGTGCTGCTGCCTTTTTTCAGGGATGCCCTGCCAAGCAAGGAGGTAGTCTAGTCATAGTCTGCCAGCAGAGGCATTGCTGAGCTGCTGCTGCTCTGCCCAGCTGCTGTTTGAACTTCCTTGTGGTTTTTTACAGAGGTAAAGTTAGAACTGCCTCGGTAATGGCGGACTGCCTCGGTAATGGCAGACTGCCTCAGTAGTGGTAGACTGCCACAATAATGGCAGATGCCCTTTTCCCCCACTGAACTGGACCATCTGGGGTCCAGCTGTGAAGCTCTCAATGCAGAGCATTCAGATTGCCGGTCTTTGTGGTGGTGGGACCCACTGAGCCAGATCAACTGGCTCCCTGTTTTAGTTCCCTCTTTCAATTGAATGGGTGGCTCTGTCTCCCAGGCATTCCAGGCGCCAGTTGAAACAGCTGCCCAGATATGTGTGAGTTTTTGTGTGGAAACCCATGGTGCCAGCTGAAACAGCTGTGCTGGAATGGCCTTTTCAGCCCAGGAATCTCTTGGTCTGTGAGCAGTAAAAACTTGTTTAGAAATGCGGTGATCACTCACCCTCTGCATTGTTCTTGCTGGGAACTGCACTCCAGAGCTGTTCCTGTTTGGCCGGCCATCTTGGATCTCCATCCATCAGTACATTTTATACCTAGATTCTTTGGCATGCATAGCATTAGAGTTCAGTAGTTGCTTACTCTATTCAGGTAAACTTTTCTTTTTTTTTTTTTTTTTTGAGATGGAGTATTGCTCTGTCATGAGGTTGGAGTGCAGTGGCACAGTCTCAGCTCACTGCAACCTCTGCCTCCTGGGTTCAAGTGATTCTTCCACCTCGGCCTCCCAAGTAGCTGGGACCACAGGTGTATGCCACCACGCCTGGCTAATTTTTGTATTTTTAGTTAGAGACAGGGTTTCACCATGTTGGCCAGGATGGTCTCAATCTCTTGACCTCGTAATCTGCCTGCCTTGGCCTCCCAAAGTACTGGGATTACAGGCATGAGCCACTGTGCCCGGCCAGGTAAACTTTTCACGCAGTGAAACACACAATCTCAAAAGTACTTTTCAGTGACTCTTGATGCATGTGCACACCTTTATAACTGAAATCGCTGTCCAGATGTAGAACAGTACCATCACACCAGAGGTCCTCCTGCCCCTTCTCAGTTGATTCCAATATCCACTCCCAAATGCAACTACAGTTCTGATTTTTTTTCACCATAGATTGATTAGACCAATTTTTTTGAACTTCATATAAATGAAATCAAACAGTTTGTACTTCTCATAAGGCTTCTCTCATTCAGCATAGTGTTTTGGAGATCCATTTGTGTTGTTGTGTGTATGAGTCATTTGTTCCTTTTTGTTGCTGAGTAATATTCCATGATATGAATATGTTGTAGTGTGTGTATTCACATCCCAGTATTAGAAACTTCGGTTGTTTCCAGCATAGGGTGTGCAACTTGTTTCTTTGTTGACATATGCTTTCATTTCTCTTGGATAAATACCTGGGAATGAAATTGCTGGGTCCTAGGGTAGATATATGTCTAGTTTTATAAGAAACAGTTAGACCTTTTACCAAAGTGGTTATATTGTTTTATCCTTTCATCACAAATGTGTGACAATTCAGGTTGCCCACAGCCTCGTCAACATTTGGTATTTTTAGCCTTTTTAATTTTAGCAGTTCTGGCTGACCACAGTGGCTCACGCCTGTAATCCCAGCACTTTGAGAGGCCAAGGAAAGAGGATTGTTTGAACCCAGAAGTTCAAGACTAGTCTGGGCAACATGGCAAGACCCCATCTCTACAAAAAGTTTAAAAACTAGCTGGACATGGTGGCACACACCTGTGGTCCCAGCTAGTCTCAAATCAAGGCTACAGGATCACTTGAACCTGGGTGGTCAAGGCTGCAGTGAGCCATATTCACACCACTGCACTCCAGCCTGGACAACAGGGCAAGACCTTATCTTCAAAAAGAAAAAAAAGCGCAGCTATTCTGGTGGATGTGCAACAGTATCTCATTGTGGATATGGTTTTCATTTCCCTAACGACTAATGACGTTGAATGTCTTCTCAGTGCCTATTGGTTGTGTTATTTATTCAGATACTTCTTCTGTGAAAGGTCTGACCTTGTGAAGGTACAATCTTTGGTCGATTTGTAATTTAAAAAAATCTTTTTACGATGAGTTGAAGGAGTTCTTTATGTATTCTGGGTACCAGTCTTATGTGAGATATGTTTTGTGAGTATTTCTTTCCTACTCTATCATTTGCCTACTCGTTGGCTTAGTCGTTTCTTTTCAAGAGACATTTTTAATTTTGATAAAATCTAACATTAATTTTTTCTTCTTATGGTCATTGCTTTCTGTGTCCTAAGAAACTGTACCTACTTCAGAGTCAGAAAGATACTTCATGGGGTTTTTTAAGACAATAATTTTACCGTTTACATTTAGGTCTGTTACCACCTCAAGTTAATTTTTATCCATGGTGTCCAGTAGGGGTCAAGGTTAGCTTTCCCCATATGAATATGCAGTTCTGCCCAGCCCACCACTGTGAGTGTCCTTCTCACCCTCACGTTGTGGCTGAGCCTACCCGCCCATATGCCCATGACCTGGCCTGATCTTTTACACACAGTAGATGCTTCGTACATGTTCACTGAATTGCAATACAGATAAGAGAACAATAGAGGATTCCAGCAATCTTTTAATGTCTTGATTTTGAAAACTGTTTTACAGAATTCATCTCCCAAAGTACATGTCAGCGTATAGAGCCTGTTCAACCCTTGAGTTAGCATTTCCTGCCAAGAACCTAGGTTGAAGTGATAAGGCTAATTGCATAAATCTTTGCCTTTGGTTTCTTTAGAGTGAAGAGAGGACATGAATTCAGCATTTTATTGAATTCTTAACATATGCTAGGCATGCTGCTTCATTGATTCTGCTACATCTTGTTTGATCCTTAGAGCAACCTTGTAGGAAACTGGGGTGCCAGAGATTTTAAGTGACTTCTGCATTACACTTTGCAACTTAGAGTTAGTAAGTTGCAAAGCTAGGAATTCTGTGGGACAGGGAAATCTGAAGGAAAGCCAATAACTTGATTCTGATTTAAGACTTCTAGAAAAGAATAACATCTGACTGACTGTAAAGTATATAGAACTTGATAGCAAAACTTGATAGGTAATTAAACTTAATAAATTCTGAATCCTCCCAATCAAAGATAACTTAAAAAAAATTCAGCCTTGGCCGGGCACAGTGGCTCACGCCTGTAATCCCAGCACTTTGGGATCACGAAGTCAATAGTTGACCATTCTGGTCAACATGGTGAAACCCCGTCTCTACTAAAAATACAAAAAATTAGCTGGGCATGGTGGCGCGTGCCTGTAATCCCACCTACTCAGGAGGCTGAGGCAGGAGAATTGCCTGAACCCAGGGGGCGGAGGTTGCGGTGAGCTGAGATCGCACCATTGCACTCCAGCCTGGGTAACAAGAGCGAAACTCTGTCTCAAAAAAAAAAAAAAAAATCAGCCTTCTAATATCACTTTCTAAGTGTATGGTCATAAAAAAAGTTCAGTTTTCTAATATCACTCTCTAAGTGTAGGTCATATATGCAAAAATAAAAGCCCTTAGAAAATATATTTAGGCCTGAATCTCTAAGCTAAGGATTGATTGATAGTAAAAATGCATCAAAATTATTAATAGCTCCAGGGCCCACACACTGCCCATGACTTTATAAGATATTCTTACAATCAGATTATAGAGCCAGAGTCTTATTTCAGAAAGCCAGTGGATTTGAATTTATGTCTTTGTCCTTCTCGTTGCCTCCTGGGGAATGCAGTGCTGACCTTTCCTTTGTTTGCAGGTATGCTTCAGAAGTGTCCTTCTGTTGATGACTTCGTAAGCGCCCTCATTTCTGACTTGGATCTGGACTTCGAAACTTTCCTCATGGATTCTGAATAACAGAAATACTCTAAACCTCTTAAATCAAGGTCATGTCGATAATGACTTTATTATCAATGCTATGGTGGTGAGAGCTTGTTTCTGATTTCGGTGTTCACTTCTGTCATAACTTCTGAAAAACTTCAAACTGATAGAACTTGGAATAAATCGTTTGTTTTAATTATACTGGCTTTTCACCCATTTGGCAAATGTTAGAGCACATGGAAACTCTGAGCTGGTAACGACACTTCTGTGTGACATTGTTAAATGGAGGGTATGGGCATTTCCTTAGTGTAACCACTATTCTGTTGAACTTTTTCTGCTTTCCATGGATCTCTAATTGGTTTAATTAAATATTTAATTAAAAGCAAAATTATTTAGACACAGTTTGAAGCAGTCTTCAGAAAGGTTACACATATAGTTCTTTTAAGGATGGTGACCCTTTCTTAAGAACTCTATTTAAAGTAGACTTAGAAAATGCACTTTAAATAGTCAGATACAAGCAACCAATAAACCAAGTGTGGTTTCCAAAATACCTATAATTATCTGCACTGTTTCCTCCTGAATGTTAAGGCAGATAGACTCAGATCACAGAGGACTTCTCTGACTTGGCAATGAAGGTAGAATGAGTAAGTGCAGGTACAATTAATAAGTGACATGACCAAGCAAATGGTGAATCAGGAAACGGGGGTTCAGACCATGCCTGTTTTTACCTGGAACTCATTTGTTGTACACTATTGCATACCATGTTGTATTTTGCTTTCTTAATATCAGCAAATAAATTATTTAATGGGTTTTTCCTACCATTAAAGTCGATAATTATAGATTTCCAGTTTTAAAAGGCATCTGCTGACAGCCTCTTCCTGCTTCTCAACAAATGACCAACGAGGAAAGGAAAGATTCAAAATACCCAAACTAGGACACAAGAAAACCTATTCGCAGAATCTGGAGGAATTTCTTCATATTCAGAAACAGATGAGACTGGATGTAGAAACGCCATCAGTGACCTGCCTGTGCCAGGTGCACCTGGCTGCAAGGGGAATCAACCCTTCATGCTTTCCCACCTCCTGCTCACCCTTAGAAATCCAAATCAGTACTGACCACAAAGCAGAGCAGCTGGCACCCCCAAATAGGGCTTCGCATTTGACCGAGTGCTGCAGTGGGTCCCTGCCCCTGCTACTCCCCATCGGAGCTTCTCTATACAGCAGCTCTTGGAAACTGCAGCTCACACAGCCTTGGGCACGGAGTTGGGCAAGCCTGGCAGTGGTATCTCCTCCACACCCAAAGCAGAGCTGAGGAAGGGAGACAGCATTCAAGGAAGGGCTCTGCACCAGTGTGCAGGGAGGAATCTCACTGTTTCTATGTCTCACCTGATTAATTCACAGTATCCAAGCTAACAGAAGAAGAGATCTTATCCTGACAAACTGGCATTACACAGATGCCAGCTCATTCTGGGAAACAGACTTGGAGAAATTGACATCAACCTGCTAGTCAGTTACAGGTAAATCTGAAAAGTGCTTTCATCAGCACCCAGGTGCACCAACAGTGACAAAACCCTGCATCTTTATCAGGCCTTTTTTGTAGGGGTGAGGAACCAAAAAAAAGAAGTCTGTGTGGAGCATTCTTCAAAAAAGGGAAAGGAAGACATCGCCTGGAAGATGCTGGAAAATCAGAACTTTGAAAATTATTTTTTTTGAGACAGACTCTGACTCTGTCACCCAGGCTGGAGTGGAATGGCATGATCTCAGCTCACTGTAACCTCCACCTCCCCAGGTTCAAGGGATTCTCGTGCCTCAGCCTCCCTGGTAGCTGAGATTACAGGTGTGCACCACCATACCCAGCAAATTTTTGTATTTTTTTTTAATTTTTGTATTTTTAATAGAGACAGGATTTCACCATATTAGCCAGGCTGGTCTCAAACTACTGACCTCAAATGATTCACCTGCCTCAGCCTCCCAAAGTGCTGGGATTACAGGTGTGAGCCACTGTGCCTGGCAAAAATTATTTTTTAAAAGGAGGAAATTTCTCCTGTTATATTGCAGCAAATCTCTCTGGTATTATTTTATTTTATTTTATTTTTGAGACAGAGTCTTGTTCTGTTGCCCAGGCTGGAGTACAGCAGCTTGATCTCAGCTCACTGCAACCTCTGCCCGCCAGGTTCAAGCAATTCTCCTCCCTCAGCCTCCCGAGTAACTAGGATTACAGGTGCCCACCACCATGTCTGGCTAATTTTTGTATTGTTAGTGAGATGGGGTTTCACCATGTTGGCCAGGCTGGTCTTAAACTCCTGACCTCAAGTGACCCATCCGCCTTGTCCTCCTAAAGTGCTCGGATGACAGGCGTGAACCACTGTGCCTGCCCCTCTCTGGAATTCTTAAAGAGATTTGAGAAAACGTGGTAACTATGAAGTTGAAAACCATAAAGAGCAAGCAGAAATAAAAAGATGATAGGACAAGTTAGAAAGGAAGATCGGTAAAATAAAGAAATGCAGTAATCCCAGCACTTTGGGAGGCCGAGGTGGGTGGATCACGAGGTCAAGAGATCGAGACCATCCTGGTCAACATTGTGAAACCCCGTCTCTACTAAAAATACAAAATATTAGCTGGGCATGGTGGTACGTGCCTGTAATCCCAGCTACTCAGGAGGCTGAGGCAGGAGAATTGCCTGAACCCAGGAGGCGGAGGTTGCAGTGAGCCGAGATGGCGCCATTGCACTCCAGCCTGGGTAACAAGAGCGAAACTCCGTCTCAAAAAAAAGAAAAAAAAGAAATGCAGAGAAATGATAACCACAGTACAATAATTTAAAACATTGTCAGAATCAGAAAAGAAGAAATTTATCAAGGAAAAACCTGAGAAATATTTCTCAGAATATAGGTTAAAGGGATATAATGAGAGCAGATAGCAAGACAGCAGAGTAGAGGTCCACACCCTCTGAATTCTTGAATTCCTCAGATGAAGCCAGGGCATGTGCAGCAAAAGCAATAACCAGAAATAAATTCTGGTGTACTCTTGTATTCCCAGGAGTACAAACCAGTGCTTCAGCCAGGGCCTAGCAGTTAGTAGGGATACTGGTGAATGAATGCTAATCACTGATTTCAAGAAACCCTTGTTAAGCTGAACGAATGACTGTGCAGTTCAAAAGAGAATCCCTGATGGTGGCACACAGTGTAAATGTCCTCAGTGCCACTGAGCTGTACACTTTCAAGTGGTTCTGCTTTGTGGGAAATTTTATATTGTGTATATTTTACCACAAATTTTAAAAAAGCAAACAAAAGAGAGAATCCTGAATTCCAGATTCAAACATAGTGAAAAGAGACCCTAATCTAGACGTGTTCTACTTTCTTGGGAGTTTAAATGAAATATAATTAAAATTACTAGGCCGGGTGTGGTGGCTCACGCCTGTAATCCCAGCACTTTGGGAGGCCAAGGTGTGCAGATCACTAGGTCAGGAGTTTGAGACCAGCCTGGCCAACATGGTGAAACCCCGTCTCTACTAAAAATACAAAAATTAGCTGGGTGTGGTGGCGCGTGCCTGTAATCCCAGCTACTCAGGAGGTTAAGACAACAGAATCGCTTAAACCCAGGAGGCGGAGGTTGCAGTGAGCTGAGATTGCGCCATTGCACTCCAGCCTGGGTGACAGAGCAAGACCCTGCCTCAAAAAAAAAAAAAGAAAAAGAAAAAGAAAAATTACAGGCCAGCATATCCCAAATTAGGCCAGAACACTTCTCAGGAATGGTTAGTTGGTGTTCCAGGAACTCAGAAGGGTCCTGTTGTTAAATATATTTGGGAATTACTCGGATGTTTTGAAGGTTCACTGTGCACATGAGCAACGCTTTAGTCACAAACCAGATTTGACGTTGCATACATGAGCTAGTAATTCCCAGACAGGTTTGGTTATGGCCCACCCTCTTTGTGGAGTACCTATGGATATTGTTCAGAACCCTGGGAAATAATTAAAAATACTCCGCTGGAAATAACAGTCACACCTATAAAGGAGCAAGAATTACAGTGACCAAAATGCAACTTTTCATCACTTAAACGCCAAAGAACTGAAAAAAGTTTTGAGACATGAAGACTGAGATATAAAATGACATTCTCAGACATGAGGGCTCAGGAAACATCTCAACTTTTTACGCTTCTTTAAAAATTGATAAAAGTATGTGTAATTCTGACCAAGAGTCAGAGCAAATGAAACCTCCAAGGGACTCCACAAAATCATTACTTCTTCACAATAACAGCTGGATAAATCATAATAGCACATTATTTTATGAACGTTTTCCCTTATGATGGTAATAAATCCATAAGCCACAGCCCTCTTGGGAACATTATCTCCTGTAGTTACAATTTACCACCAGCTTCCAAAAAATCGAATTTAAAGTTTTTACAGATGTGTAAACACTGAAAATAATCTAATGAAAGAACTGGTGGATAATGAATAAAATGTTAGTGTGTAGGTGTTGAGATTTGGGCCTCTTTTCATCTCCTGTACTCAAGGTTTAGCCTGACTTAGTAAAAGTGACTGAGATGAAATGTGAACAGTTGAGCTTGACATTTACTTAGCATTTTCCAGTTTCCAGGGGCCGATCTGGTGGCTGTCCATGTGAAGCGCGTGAACCTGGGAGGTAGCAGTCCGTGATAACTGTGGTACTAGGGAGGCAGACAGCCCAGCCCGGGACTTGCCCAGCGTCCTCAAGCTGTCACTGTGCCGACAGGGCTAGAGCCACCTCCCTTGGCTCCTTGTCCACTGCCCTTTGTACCTCATGCAGGTCCCCAGAAGACCTCACTCCTGCCCTGCAGGCTCCTACACATTCCTTAGACACTACCGTGGTGTTGCGTGGCCACATGACACACACAGGCCTTTTCTAGTTCACCGGTTTTCTGCAAGGGTGCTGGTTAGGCAGTGTCTCCAGGAGGAGCAAGTCTGAAGCCAAATCTAGGCATCAAAAACAAGCTGGGCACAGGGCTGGTGGGCCATCAGGGACCACCCTTCTGGTTGATACTTTGCTTCATCTGCATCTTTTGAGTAAGATCTGGCAGTATGAGCTGTTCTCCAGGTCCATTTCTCTAGCTCATGTACAAAAATATCCTGAAGGACTTTGTCAGGTGCCTTGCTGAAATCCACATGCATTTGGCACTTCCTTGGTCTGAGGTTAATTGCACACTCACAGGCACTGGGCTCGTGCCTT